TATTAATTTATTACTTGATTGATATAGTACTCATATATATCATGAATTTGCAGATGCAGAATTTACTACATAATTTCCTCATGAATTTAAACTTTCATTTTAAAATTAAATTTCTAGCCCTATGATTGTATTGAGAATTTTAAAAACTGTGTAAGGGATAGCTGCTTGAATCTGCAGACTACATGGAACAGTAGCTCTAGAGACATGTGAACTTCCCTCACTCCGTTCTGAAACCCTGTGACATTAGTTTTTAGTATGATTGTTAACCATTTCCTGCTATAATGTACTTATCTTGCAACCCTAAATTATCTCCTATACCTTGCTAAGTGCCAGAAATCTTTTCTGTCTTTTACTTAAACAGTCATGCTCCCTTGAGAACTTCTAGAATGAAGTTTTGACTGTTTGGTACAAAACTCTGCAGCGTATAAAAACTGAAAATGTAAGGGGAAGAAATAAAATATATTGTTTTTAATATCAAATTAAATAGCACAAATGATATTGACTCGATAGCTTGACTTATTTTCATTTTTAAATTAATATGAATTTAAAATATTACTTGAAGCTGCAGCAGAATGTATAGTCTGTCAAATCAGAATACTTCAAAAACGAGAGTAGTGGGTTTTCCTGTATAATTAGGTCACTGCTATTACAAAATGCTTAGGATCATAATTTAATGAAGCTCCCAATATGCACTTAATAACATGTCATTTCTACAGGTAAATATTTTAACTTAATCATTAGAAAATCACAAAAAGTTTATCTATTCAGTCCTCTGTTTATTTATACTTTTGAAACAATGGCAGTTATGCAGTTATACTGAGAAAGAAAAGTAGCATTTAATATGTAAGGCCCAAGGATAGTGAGTAGAATAATAGAACATACTTTGATTTGTTGAATAATTTTACCCACTTCAGTAAAATCCACCTGACTGTACTTACAAATTAAGTAGAAAATTTTCCATGAAAGGAACTTACTTAATAGAAAGCAATAGAAATGGGCTAAAATAAGCTTTATCACCAGAAGGTGGCAGTCTAGTTTCTATGATGCAGTGTATGTTGGGTGTGTATTCTCTCTTTCATCACTCTGCAGGTGCCAACCACCCCCAAATTATACATTTTGTGCCATTCCTGATTCCATCAGTAGGCTCACAAAACTTGCCTGGTTATCATGCTCTTATTGGGTAGCTACAGCTAGCATCTATTCTGTGAAGTGATATCTTAATTTCTGGGCCTTAGTTATCTCCAGACTTCTCATGGAGTGGCAGAAGCAGTATGAAAGCCTAGAAATATCATGGAGGAAAAGCAAGAAATCCCCTTCCTACTCCACTCCAGTATTGCCCTAACAGTGAGGTTTCTGCTCAATGTGCTGCCCTTCCCCCACCTCTTTGTGTAGTTCTGACAAGCCATATTGAGTGGGAATAGAAATAATACTGAATTAGGGGCCTGCATCTCACCACAGTAGCCCCCTACTGACACCAGAAAAGTGTGTGTGTGGGGGAGGAGTCTGCTCAGCATGATCCACATGATATGAAACAAGAAGACCTTATTTCTGAGGAGTTCCAGGATAGCAACATGGAGGTTAGGGGACTTCCAATCCTTCTTAGGGCATTATTCATATCTATCAGTTGCCTCAACATGAATGTACAAGCCTCAAAGTATCCTTGCTAGTATAGAAGAGCAGAGAACTCTTTCTCATTATGGTTTGTGTCTGCCATTTCTACTAACCTTGCAATCATTGTCTTGACTTGACTGCTAACAACACTGAGTCCACCAGTTTGTTTCATATACAGTAAGCAATGAAAAGCTACCCGATGGCAATTGCTTTTTGGGTCACTGTTCTCCAAGTACTGAGTTAAAAAAAACACAAAAACTTGAAGTTGAATGTCTGTCAAGCCTGAGATTTCAAATTCCCACTTCCATACCATCAGTATATATGAGTGACAACTACTTTTACTGATAGCCAGAGTTTAGCCTTATACACTCAAATATTTGTTATTTTTCTCAAAGTTGTAAGGGCAACTGAACTCTTCCTGTATAAATGTGGGTTTCATAGGATTCCACATCAAGGGAATGATGATTATTCACTGCTATTATTTTTGCTTTTTTTTTTGCTGGGTTTGGTGGATTAATTATATGCTAGTCTCTGGTAATGTGTTTCATTAATGTTGGGTTATAACTTGCCTTATAACATAGTAACAATCCAACCCACAGAGCCATAGAACCATAGGACTGGATGGGATCTCAAGAGGTCATCTAGTCCAGTTCCCTGGACTTACGGTAGGACTAAGCTTTATAGAGTTAGGGCCCTACCAAATGAACAACCATGAATAATACATCATGGACCATGAAAGCTCCTTTGTGTGCTTTACCCTCTGCTATACAGATTTCATGGTAGAGACCATCATTTTTCAAACTGCGGTCTTGATCAAAAGGAAACTGCGGGCGGGGGAGGGAGGGGAGAGAGGGTTGCAAGCTTATTTTAGGGGGCTGCAGTATTGCCACTCTTACTTCTGTGTTGCCTTCAGCAGAGGCAAAAGAGCAGCAGCTGGTGGCTGGAAAGAGGAAGATGGTGGCCAGGCGCCCAGCTCTGACAAACTGTTTGGCTCAGTGTTATTAGCAGCTAAGTCAAGACAATGATTGCAAGGGTAGATCTGGATAATACCCCATCCCATATCATCCTCACTTCTGCACTTCTGCTGCCAATGACAACTCTGCCTTAAGAGGTGGGCTCTTGGCCAACAGCCACCACTCTCCAGCTGCCCAGCTCCTAAGGCAGCACCACCACCAACAGCAGCGAAGAAAAGGGTGTATCAGTACCACAAGTCTTGCATACAATAATTAGAATACTTATCCAGCATTGCTCAGGTCCTTAACTCAAATAAGGTTTGCTTTTCTTCATTTAAATGATTGTTTTGGGATGGAATGAGGGGTTCAGTACTCAGGCTGCCTTGGGGAGAGAGGACACCCCCATCCCTCTGTCACCACAGCAACTTGGGGCTAAGTGAAAAGCACTTGTCCATAACTGCTGCAGCAGGCACAACCGAAGGAGGAATGCATGTCCCCCGCCTGGGGGACAAAGATACTAACAGACACACAAACTGTGAAATATATAATAGATAACCGTCCTTTTCTCCACCTCTGCCCCTGTTCGCCGAATGGGGTTATAGCTGCCCTGCTCCCCATCTCTGGTCCTTTGCTGTCCCCCTATGGTAATTCTCCAGTATAACTGTCCCTCCTACCAGACCCCTCCCTTTCCATTTTATGAGAAACAGTCAAATTCCAGGAACATTCCATTGTCCTGTCACAATCAAACTCTGACCTTGCTTTAAGTCATGATAGAAAGAAGCTGCATACCAAATTTGGTGGCCCTTGCTTTTACCAGTTAGGAGGAGTTCTTGAACAAACAGACTCACAGACAGATACACAGACTGAAGCTTAAACTCTGTCAATTATACAGTAGATCTTGTGACTCCCCCGTACAGCTCCTTTTTGGGTCAGAACCCTTGTAGTCATAACACCATTAAATTTTAGATTTAAATAGCTGAAATAATGAAATTTCCAATTTTTAAAATCCTGTGATTGTAAAATTGGTAGGGCCCTGCATATAGACCATTCCTGACACGTGTTCGTCTAACTTGCTTTTAAAAAATCTCTAATAATGGAGATTCCACAATCTCCCTAGGGAATTTATTCCTTTGTTTACCTACCCTGATGGCAAGTTTTTTCCTTACATCCAACCAAAATCCCTTGCTGCAATTTAAGCCCATTGCTTCATGTCCTGTGCTCAGAGGTTGAGGAGAATAGTATTTCTCTCTCCCCCTTGTAACAACCTTTTATGTACTTGAAGACTGTTATCATTTCTACTCTCAGTCTTCTCCTGACTAAATGCAGTTTTTTCAGTCTTCCCTCATAGGTCATTTTTACTAAATCTTTAATCATTTTTGTTGCTCTTCTCTGGACTTTCTGCAATGTGTCCATGTCTTTCCTGATATGTGGCACCCAGAACTGAACATAGTCCTCCAGTAGAGACCTAATAGGTAGAGTGGAAGAATTACTTCTCATGTCTTGCTTACAACAGTATATCCCAGAATGATGTTTGCTTTTTTTTTGCAATTGTTTTTCTTCGTTGACTCATATTTATTTTAATTTAAGGCCAGAAGGAACCACCAAATTATTTAGTCTGACCTCCTGTATGTCACTAGCCACCAGTAAAAGCCAATGCCTATATATTAATCCCAGTAGCTGAAATTAGAGCAATTCATTAGAGACCACGGGAGACTAAACTATTATGTTCCACAAACATAGAATAGGAGTGGCCAAGATGGGCCAGTGGTGTAGGGCATTGATTGAGATGCACCCGAAATAGTACCAGCAAGTATCTCACACTCCATGCTGCAGGGAAATGTGAAATCTCCTCCAGGTTACTGCCAACTGGATCTGAGGAAAAATTCCTTTCTAACCCACATGTAAGCAAAAGTCAGCCAGGTAATATGAATATGTTTTTACAAGGCTGTAATTTATGCAAATTGGTTAGACTTTGTAGCCTTAAACTCTTGTGGTTATTTTTGCTTTTAAACTTGAATTAATTTCTATATATTTGACAGAAACTGGCTATATCATTCCCTTTGGTTTTAGGCAGAACTTCTCATTGACTTTTTCAAACAAAAGTTAAGGACAGCATTGTGTGATAAATGCAAAACAAAAAACTTACAGTTTGAGGGTTAAGAGAGGAATATGATATAATTTTTAGGCAAAATCCCTTTATTTACATAAGTGCCTGGAGGAGCTGAAATTGTTTATTTAAAGAATGAAAAAATTGGTTCAAATAGTTGGTTCCACTTAGAAGTTCTGATTTAAAAATTTATATCACAATATATTATGGAAATTATCATTTGGCTCACAAAGCTTATCTATTATCTTTTCCATGTTTCATGTTGCATTGTTTTACATGTGGGAAGAGAGTGAGAGAATTCTTAGAGTAACATTTTAAAATAATTTCAGGAATATGAACTTCAAAGATCAAAAGAAGAAGAAATTATGCAATCTTTTCATAAATGGAAAGAGGAAGAAAAAGAGAGATTGGCTGATGAAATAGAGAAAGTGAAAGAGATGTTTATGAGGGAATTTAAAGAATTAGCTGCAAAGAATACTGCATTAGAGAATGTAAGTGATTTAAATACGGAATTTCTGTTAATATTATCTGTAAGGAAATTATCTTGGTTTATTATTTGAAACATATAGTAATAATATCTCTCATAATTTTTCCATCATCAGATTTCAAAGCTTTTTACAAGAGGTCAGAGTCATGCTGTTAATATTATAAGAATTGTTCTTATATAAAACATTTAAAATATTAATTTAATGGTTATATTTTGGTATTGTCTCCTTAATTCCAAGATGTTTTCATTTTTTTATGAATTGCACTTATTTGTATGAAGGATTCCTGCCTACAAGTTGCAGGTCATTCTTTACTTAATCCTCATCCATATAGTTCTTGTTTTCTAGTTGGTTAATATTTTATTATTGCTGCCTACCAAGATTAGGTGTTTATGAATGATTTGTAAGAGGAGGAATAACCTCTATAGCAAGGTCCTGAGGGAGAAGAACTGCCTGCATAGGGTGTTGTCAGAAAGGTCAAAAGTGGTATTTCCCAGTGTTCTGATTATGGATAAATCTGTGAGCGTCCAGGCACACCAGAAAAGATGTGTGAGAGTTTATTAGAACTGCTTCTATTTTGTTGGTGCTAGTTCCTAACCTGTGTCCCAGTAAATGTGATAAATGCTTTGCTGCTTAAAAATGATTATGGGGATTACCTCAATTTTAAACAGTTATAATTTAAATTAAATTGCATATTAAACTGAAATCCTATAATAATTTCTTTAACTATATGCTGGATTTTTAATAGATTTTTTTCCCTCTTAGCAATTGTTAGATTTACAAAAGTCCAATATGCAAATGAAATCCAATTTGGGCACTTTAAAAGACAGCTGTGAATTTATGGAAGAGAGACCACAGAATGATCAGGATTATCAGAATGTGATTGAACTTCTTGAAAAACAGGTAGTATTCTGATGTACTGTAAAGATGAACATACAGTATAGTGATCACTACTGATCGTCTTTTGTGTTTGTCATTCTACAAATAAGAATGCAAAATTCAGATTAAAAAATTTCTGAAATTCTCATTTTCTACTTAACTTTCTTATTGGATTCACTGCTATCTGCTTAATACTATTAGTAATTTCTTTAATGGAAATTATTCCCAGCTTAACTTTCCGAAGAGCGATTTAGACACTTGTCCTGGATTCTGACCCATGCCCAGTATGTTCTGGGTGTCTTTAATTGGCAGAAGAAATCATTTGTACCTCCTTGATCTCAGTGTTGCTTTGGAAAAATACATTTAAAATTGAACAAGTGATAAGAAACTCTGAGATGTTAGAAACTTTTAATGATGGGTTCCCATCTTCATTTAAATGAAGAAATGGTGGAATTTGTTCATTTCCTCCTACAAAGGGAAGTACATTCTATCTTTCTCAAGTTAAGGTATTTTATTTCATTGTCACTATAAAGAACCAGTGTTTGAATTTATGTTATTTAGAAAAAGACTACTCATATGTTTGTTACTGTATTAGCAAAATGAAATATATCATAGTAACTTTGTATTTTGTCTACTGAGAGACTGAGCTTACATACTCAAGATCCTATGAATATATAATTTCCAATATGACTAATAATATATAACAATTACATATCATATGAGATACTAAAATACTGTTTAAGTCTTTCAGAAGGGGTTACTGAAATATTAATAATCTTTTATGCTGATATAACTCAGGGTCATTATTAACCAATTTTAATTCAAATGAACATTTACTTTCCTTTTAGGAGAGTAAGTGGACTTCCAGAATACAAGCCCTTCATCAAGAACATGAAAAAGAAAGGTGCCAGGTAAGATTGCATTAGCAGTATGTTTATACCAATAACCTGTTTTAAAGCAAGTGAAATGAAAACAAACACCTAACTTTTTCAATGCTACTAATATAGTTTACAACATCTGGTAGATTAGAAATCATAGATATTAAGAATTTATGCTCAAAATACATTATTTTATTATGTAGCATTATTTATTTATTTCTCTATTTCTTTTACGCTGGTGCCCAGAGATAGCAGTCAGGATCAGGGTTCTGATCCTGAATCAAGCCCATGGTGTTCATTGCCAAGATTCCCATCTATTCTTCCTAAAATAGCATTATTTGCTACCATGGGTAACTGTAAATAATTTTCTTTATCTAGTTATAATATTTCCCTATAGGTCTTACTTTCAGAGCATGTCCATAATATATATGCACATTCCTTTCTGTGTTTTTAATAATCTGTGTGTAAATGAAAAATGATATAGGCCCTGATTCAGAAAAAGCATCCCCTGTCCAGGGAGGCACTGCAACATATGCATGAGTCCTACTGGAGTCACACATCCTTAAGTACTTTCTTGAATTATGGTGTGACAGAGTGCTTAAACCTTGAAGTGAGAGGGAAGGGATTATGGAGGCCATGAGTACTAAAGTAGCCCTGCTTCTCCTCCCCTGGTAATTATGCACAATAGGAAGGTGAGGGGAGGGGGCTAAAAGGTGGGTGCTCTAGTCAAGCGGGGAAAGTCCAGAACAGGGAGTTGCTAGAGTAGACTAGATGGGGACACCCTAGAGAAGCTCATTTACCCAGGACTATAAAGAAAAGAATTTGAACCAAAACCTTGCTTGGCTAAACAACATAATAAAATATTATATGAAATATTTACGAGTTGCTTTTCAACTGTTCGTTTTCTAGCTACTGTCACAGATTGAGAAGCTTAAATCATCAATGACAGCGGACCTAAATGCAAGTAATATCTTCTATAAGAAAAGGATAGAAGAGCTAGGGCAGAGACTTCAGGAACAGAATGAGCTGATTATTTCTCAAAAACATCAGGTCTGTTTTTTAAAGGATTCTTGGGTATCTAAAACTATAGGGGCATGTCGGAAGAGATTTTTTTTAAAGAATATTTAACTCTGTGGATGAACTTCCAATTTTCATAAATTAATATTCTCTTCAACTCAGGTTGGTTGTATTACCCCTGTATGTGGCTTTGGTGAGATCATTACTGGAGTACGGTATCCAATTTTGGTGGCCGTACTTCAAAAAGGACTGGTAGGTCTTCCTGGGCCATCAAATTCAGTCTCCTTTTGTTGCTGACAATTCCATCAGATAATCCCATTAATAGATGTATCAAATTGGAAAGGACTCAGGAAAGATAAACAGTGGTGATTTGAGGCCTGAAAAACATATTTCACAGTTTGGGTATGTAATATTTCAGAATAACTGATGTTATTTTGAAATAACATAGTCTGCGTCTACACTACAAGCAGTTATTTCGACATAATGTCAAAATAATGTTGAGCTGGAGGACTTCTTACTCTGACTCCTGTAACCCTCATTTTGCGAGGAGTAAGGGAAGTCGAAGGAAGAGTGCTCTTCCTCGGACTTCCTGCTTTGTAGACAATGCCAAAAGCTGAAACTAGCTATTTCGACTGAAGCTCCACAGTTGATGTAGCTCAAGTTGTGTAGCTTAATTCAACTTTTCCTCTGCTGTGTAGATGTACCCTTTGAAACTTAACAAGCTAAGTCTGTTTAGTTTCTCCAAGAGAGGGTTAAGAGTTGACTTGGTCACAGTCTGCAAAAATCTACTTGGGGAAGAGATATCTTAAGGTAGACACTCCTGTAATTTATGAGAAAAAGGCATAATGAGATCTAATTATAAGAATCTGATACTAAACAAATTCAGACCAGAAATAAGGCACAATTTTTTGACTGTGAGGATAATTAATAATTTAAACAGCTAGCCTAGAAATGAGATAGATTCTCTATCACATCAAGTGTTTAAATCAAGTCTTGATAACTTTCTAAAAGAGATACTATATTTCAAAATGTTAATGGGCATGATGCAGAAATTACTGGTTTAGATTGTATGGCCTGTGTTATGCAGAAGATCAGTCTAGATCATCATAATAGTTCCTTCTGACTGTAAAAATCTATTAATCCATGTATGTGTTAAATTGTGTGTATTTACCATGAAGAATCTTATTTTGCATACTTCAGAAAGTGGTTAATTTTAAGCACATGCATAAGTCTTTACAAACTTGGGGCATAGATTTATGTGTCTAGTTAGCAAGTTGCAACTTTTAAATCATCTTCCATAACAAAAAATTACAGCTGAGAGTGAAAAAAACCTACTGAGCAATAAATAAAAGAGAATTAAATAGTATATTCAGAGGAGACAGAGACAAGTATTTTGACTCAGACATCTCCAAAGAAAATCAGCATTACATGGGTTATAAAATGTTTCATAAAGGATCTCAAAGCAGCTTTTCTGAAAAGGAATTATGAAGTTAAAGCTCATCAGAGTGGAAAGTCTTGAAGAGCAGGTGATATTGATGAGAGAAAATGGAGGCTAGACTCAAGGATAGATCATAAAAGAAGATACCTCTCAGGTATCCTACTATGGGTTAAGACCAGCGTTCCCTCTAAGATTTTCCAACCATGAATGGAGTAATTTTGGCTTGTGCACCAATATTGAGGTCATGTGTGCTAGTTTGGATGTGTGCCACCCAATTTATTAACACACAAGTTCTGGCTGCTGGAGGAGACAGCTCCCACCCCCGCCATGCGGCATGTCCTGTTCCTGGCCACTGGAGCAGACACCTGCTCCATGAGGCAGGTCCCATTCTCAGCTGCCAGAACAGGCTCTGGCCCTCCCTTCCACATGGCAGTCCTAGCTACCACAGCAAAAGAACGTAAGAATGGCCATACTGGGTCAGACCAGAGGTCCATCCAGCCCAGTATCCTGCCTGCTGACAGTAGCCAATACCAGATGCCCCAGAGGGAGGGAACACAACAGGTAATTCTCACATGATACCTTCTGTCACCCACTTCCAGAGAAACAAGAGGCTAGGGACACCATTCCTACGCATTCTGGCTAATAGCCATTGATGGACCTAACCTTCATGAGCAGGCCTCCCCCACGCCACGCAGCTGCAGCAGGTCCTGGGCCCCCGCCCCAGTAGCTCCCTACCATGCCATCTCAGCTGTCCCTGCCCGCCCCATGAGTGCTGCTGCGTAGCTCTCCGGAGGAGGTGATCCAGGGAAGAATTTTTTGTGCTTCGCTGCTCAAGTGTGCACCTTAATGGGAACATGGTTCAGACCTTTGGTGGGTTGGATATGCGAAAGATGGAAGAATGTGTCAGTAGGGAAATTAATGCTGTAGCATCTTTTACAGGATTTTAAGAGGTATCAAGCTAATTAAAAAGTAGCAATAAGAATTTGGACAACATCACTGGAAATAGGATGAGGGACTAAAAAAACTGAACATGGTACCAATATTTTAAAAGGTCACTTTAAATATTGAGATGTTAAAAAGTTCAAGTCAGACCTTTCTACTAGAACGTTTACTAGGGATAAAACAAGAGAAGTTTTATATATACAGATTGGTCAAAGTCAGAATGGATTTATAAAGAAAAGTGGTGATGAATTTAAATGAATATAACTAATCATCACAAAATTAAATGAGATTTGACTGGAAAAAAGTAGAGTAAGACGTAACTGTAGCATTATTTTGGAATAACTGACTTTATTCCAAAATAACAAGGAGCATGTCTATACTACAGACTTTTATTTTGAAATAATGTTGAGCTGGATGACTTCTTACTCTGACTCCTGTAACCCTCATTTTACAAGAAGTAAGGGAAGTTGAAGGAAGAGTGCTCTTCCTTCAGCTTCCTGCTGTGTAGACAGCACCTAAAGCCGAGTTATGGTTGGGTACCAATGTAAGTCAGTGGGACTTTTTACATACTTAAAATTAAGTATGTGGTTAAGTGCTTTGATGGACTGGGGATGGAATTCAAGCCCCACTGTAGAAAAAGGAAGTACAGCATGTAGTAAAGGATACAGGCCCCTGTAGGAATCCTGCCTATTTCACTGCATAGTCTGAATGGCATGCAAGGTCTATCTACACAGCAGAGAAAGATCCATGGCTGGCCCATACTAGCCAAATTGGGCTCATGGGGCTTCGGCTGCGAGGCTGTTTCACTGCTGTGTAGATTTCTAAGCTTAGGCTGTATAGTGTTTTAAATAATCATTCTTGTCATCCTGTCTTTTTGCAATAGTAGAAATTTTGTTAGGCTTTATATACTTCAATAATAAATTCCATTTACCATTTTATATTTTAGGAACATTATTTTATTCAGTCTTATTGCATCCATTTGTAACTGTGCCCTCATCTTATTGTATTTTTTTTTTCAGATAAAAGAATTGTCCACAAAATCACTAGCTAATGTCAAATCGCAAGTTGGTAAGTGCAGGCTATAAGAAAAGGATATAAAATAAGTTGATTCTGCCTTCCAAGTCTAATATTTTGGTTCAATTATCGTAATACAGAATATCAACCCATAGTTATCATAGTCCAAGTGGTAATAGAAGTGTAAAATCCCATTTAATTTGTTAACTGGTTTAACATTATGTTTAATCAATTAAGTGGGGACGTATGGGGCCTATCGTGAATGGGGACTGCTCCGGCTGGGCTGCTCCAACCCCCACTGGTTAACCGTAGTTTGCCAGTTAACCAGTTAGCCATTCACACAGCTAAATAGTACAGTTCATTACAAACTGATATCTGGACTTCACAAATATAATTTAAAAAAAATCAAATCAGCACTTGCAGTTTAATAGTACAGGCAGTCCCCGGGTTACGTACAAGATAGGGACTGTAGGTTTGTTAAGTTGAATTTGTATGTAAGTCGGAACTGGCGTCCAGATTCAGCCGCTGCTGAAACTGCCCAGCGGCTGACTACAGGAGGCCCGAGGCAGAGTTGCTCTGCCCTGGGCTTCCTGGAATCAGCCGCTGATCAGTTTCAACAGCGGCTGAATTTGGATGCCTGGGACAGAGCAGCTGGGGCGCTGCCGGGTTGGTCCCGCAGCGCCGCTCCTCGGCGCTACTGGACCAACCCGGCAGCACCCCAGCTGCTCTACCCCAGGTGTCCCCAAGTCAGCTGCTGCTGAAACTGACCAGCGGCTGACTACAGGAGGCCCGAGGCAGAGTTGCTCTGCCCTGGGCTTCCTGGAATCAGCCGCTGATCAGTTTCAACAGCGGCTGAATTTGGATGCCTGGGACAGAGCAGCTGGGGCGCTGCCGGGTTGGTCCCGCAGCGCCGCTCCTCGAGGAGTAACGGTAGTTCGGAATAGGACCCTAGTCCGAACTACCTAGTTCGAGCCCCGTGTAGCCGCGCTACACGGGGTTCGAAGCAGCGGGGATTTAAAAATGGCGGCTCCCCGCTTATGCTAATGAAGCCCGGGAAATTCAAATCCCGGGCTTCATTAGCAAGTGCGGTATGCATACATTACCCTCCTAGTTCGAACTAGGAGGGTAGTGTAGACATACCCTTGCTTATTTAGGGTTTCAAATTTACCAGTTTCAGGGCTTCTGAGTGACTCTGGCTCTTCCTTGGCTCCCCAGTTCCATCTCTGCTTGAGGAACTCTGCCATTCCTATTCTAGATCCTGGGCCTTCTCTCGTGAAACCTCCCTTTTAGGTGTTTTCCTAGCTTTTGTCCCGGGGCTCAAATTCTTTTGTCCATTAGAACAGAGTTGCCACAGCCTAGTCTTCTTGGGTCTGTATTTGAATCCTGGTAGCTTTCATATTCTACCATTGTTCAGGTTTTCATAGGAGATCTTCCCTTCAGCCAGCTCCTGATGACAGGCTTGCTTTTGACTGAACTAAGAAGTTTAATAATACTTAGCCACATGACTTGGGCACCTGGCCACCATTCCCGTCTTGGTCTGGTGAGCTTTCCCAGAACTATCTGTTCTTAAAGCAGTCATGCTTAGGAATCAGCTGGCCCTGGGCTGTCACTGCTGTAACAAGGAACAAACTATGCTATGACAGAAAACATTTCACAAATTAAAAAACAGACAAAACAGTCTGATTGATTTGCCCAGGTCTACACTTACTACTCAGTGGCAGAGTAGAATTTCAGGATTATATCTGCCATCTCCAGCAGCTAGGTAATACTGTTATTTTAGTTATTTAGTAAAGCAACCTTTTACTAGTTTTGAAACCTGTTGGTATAAAATTTTGTCTTTCCCTTGAAATATGTTCTTTAATTAACTTGTAAATGTGCTACAGTAGAACCTCAGAGTTCATAACTCTTAATCAAACATTAATATTGTTTTTCCAAAAAGTTAATGACCGAACATTGACTTAATACAGCTTTGGAAATTTTCTATTAGGAAGAAAAATGCTGCTTTCCCTTTCTTTTTTTTTGAGTTTATGCTCTATACAATACTGTACTATGTTTGCTGTCTCTGTGGCTGTGTCCAGACTCCATGCCTCCGTCGACGGAGGCATGTAGATTAGCCAGATC